TTGCCCCGCCCTGTTGATCCCATGGGACCTGCCCCGCCCAAGCCCTGCAGGGAGGCTTTTGCTGGATAGCCTGAGGCAAAGGCTAGATTAGCACCTCCCTAGAAATCCAGGAGCCAGGAAGCCCAGAGGTCAGAGTGGGACCATCCAGTTTGCAGCTCCGTGGAACCATAAAAGACACACTCAGGGGGCAGACTCAGTGAGCAACAAAGCCCCACTGAAGCAAGTCTTGCCCCAGAGGGGTGTCTCCAGCACAGAAGTTCTCCCACTGCAAACACAGCTGATTCTCACAGCCAATTGGCCTGGAGGTCAATTCCTCACAGTGATAACTACAACAATCAAGGCTTAATTACAACAAGACTGTGCACAAAGACCACAAGGGGGTGCACCAAGAGTGTCTACCTCAGGTAATTGGGACACTTAGCACAGAAAGGCACTCTATCGACACAGCGAAGCATAAAAAAATGCCGAGACATAGAAACAGGACACAAATGACAGAAATGGAGGAAAGCAAACTGCTGGATATAGAGTTCAAAACCACACTTTTAAGGTCTTTAAAGAACTGTCTAGAAGCGGCCGATAAATTTAGTAAGGCCCTCGAAAAGACTGGTGAGACCGCCGATAAATGAAGTGAGATCTTCAAGAAATCTAGTGAGACCCTCGATGTTGTGATAAAGAACCAACTAGAAATTAAGCATACACTGACTGAAATAAAGAATATTATACAGACTCCCAACAGCAGACCAGAGGATCGCAAGAATCAAGTCAAAGATTTGAAACACGAAGAAGCAAAAAACACCCAACCAGAAAAGCAAAATGAAAAAAGAATCCAAAAATACGAAGATAGTGTAAGGAGCCTCTGGGACAGCTTCAAGCGTACCAACATCCGAATTATAGGGGTGCCAGAAGAAGAGAGAGAGCAAGATATTGAAAACCTATTTGAAGAAATCATGACAAAACTTCCCCTACCTGGTGAAAGAAATAGACTTACAAGTCCAGGAAGCGCAGAGAACCCCAAACAAAAGGAATCCAAAGCGGACCACACCAAGACACATCATAATTAAAATGCCAAGAGCAAAAGACAAAGAGAGAATCCTAAAAGCAGCAAGAGAAAGAAAATCAGTTACCTACAAGGGAGTACCCATACGAATGTCAGCTGATTTCTCAACAGAAACTTTGTAGGCCAGAAGGGAATGGCAAGAAATATTCAAAGTGATGAATACCAAGAACCTACAACCAAGATTACTTTATCCAGCAAAGCTATCATTCAGAAGTAAAGGTCAGATAAAGAGCTTCACAGATAAGAAAAAGCTAAAGGAGTTCATCACCACCAAACCAGTATTATATGAAATGCTGAAAGGTATCCTTTAAGAAGAGGAAGAAGAAGAAAAAGGTAAAGATACAAATTAGGAACAACAAATACACATCTATCAACAAGTGAATCTAAAAATCAAATGAATAAATAATCTGATGAACAGTATGAACTGGTGATTGTAATAGAATCAAGGACATAGAAAGGGAATGGACTGACTATTCTTGGGGGGGGGGGGGAAGGGGTGTGGGGGGTGCGGGAAGAGATTGGACAATAATCGTGCACCTATAGATGAGGACAGTGGGTGGGGAGTGAGGGCGGAGGGTGGGGTGGGAACTGGGTGGAGGGGAGTTATGGTGGGAAAAAAGAGGAACCAATGTAATAATCTGAACAATAAAGATTTAATTAAAAAAAAAAAAGAAACAACAAAGAGTAAATAAAATCTGAAGTAAGGAGCTGAAGGTAAGAAACAAATATAAGAACAGAAATTAGTGCAATAAGAAACAGAAAAACAATACAGGAAAATCAGTAAAACTAAAAGAAAGTTCTTTAAAAATTTCAATAAAATTAATATAAAACTGATAAATCTCTAGCCAAATTGATCAGAAAAAAAATGAAGACCTAAATTATTAATACCATGAATCAGAAAGGGACTATCATTACAGATCCTACAGAAATTAAAAGTAAATAAAAATTATATATATAATGGCCCTAGCTGGCTTGGCTCAGTGGATAGAGCGTCAGCCTGCAGACTAAAGGGTCCCAGGTTCGATTCCGGTCAAGAGCACATGCCAGGGTTGCGGGCTCAATCTCCAGTAGGGGCTGTGTAGGAGGCAGCCGATCAATGATTCTCTCTCATCACTGATGTTTCTATCTCTCTCTCCTTCTCCCTTGATCTCTGAAATCAATAAAGATATATATATTTTTAAAAAGTTAAAAAAAAAATAATGAACAAGTGTATGTCAACAAACTCGACAGTGTAGATGAAACGAGAAATTCCTTAAAAGACATGAGCTATGAAAACTCACTCAAGAAGAAACAGATAAGCTTTAATAGCTCTATATATACTAAAGAAACTGAGTAGTTAAAAACTTTTCCTCAAAGGAAACCCCAGGCCCAGAGGGCTTCACTGCTGAATTCTACCAAACAGTTAAGGAAGAAATAATACCACTTCTACAAAAACTCTTCCAGAAAATTCAGGAGGAGGGAATACTTCCAATTCATTCCATAAAATGAGCATATCTCTGAGAGTAAACAAGAGAATTACAAAAAGACCACAGACCAATATCACTCATGCACACAGATGTAAAAATCCTTAGCCAAATTTTAGCAAATTGAATCCAATAATGTGAAAAATGTGCCTGCCACATTAGCTGGTACTAACCCAGAGTGTGTATCACTTGAAGGGATCATAGAAAACCTCCTGGAGAAGGTGACTTCTGAGAGGACATTTGACAGGCAAGCAAAATGTTAATAGGAGGTGGTGATGGGATAGAGAAAATGGTAGGAAAAAACACAAAGAAATACAAGAAGGTGGCCAACTAGCCAGAAACAGGTAGGGATACAGGCACTGACTGGGGAGGCTGCCAGGCTTTCAAAGAGCTCCTTTCTCTGGGAATAGTCCCAGACAGGCTTATCCCACGGGGCTAAGTCTGTGCTGTGCTCCCCTGCCCCCTGGCCACATCTGACTGTTCCGGCGTTAGATACTACCTAGCTGGAACAATCAGACTCTTGCCCAAGAATCTGGGACTTGAATGGAGGCAAACTCTCAGCCTGGGATTTGCAGGGGCCACATCAGGATCTACCTTGAGAGAAGTCCTCAGAGCAGGTCGGTTCCTGCCCTTCCCTCAGCTTTTCAGCAACTTCTTGGACCCTATGAGCTGCCCGTGGGGCCTTCCTTTTTAGATAGATTAATGAGAGATGGCTTCTGTTGCTTGTAATCAAAAGAACATTCAAGAGTTCAGTGAGCATAACAGCAAGTTTATCTGTATGAAAGAGTTATGTCACCACATAAAAATGTTAACCTCTGGGCCAGAGCCAAGAGTCTGTGAAGGGAAGTCAGGGGAATCACATGAAGTTGGAATGATGGGTGAGTGTGGACACTGTAAATGACAGGGACAGGAGGGTGAAGTTTAAGGGAAAGAAAAAGGCACTAAAGGTTTCTGACCAGGGGAAGGACATGGTCAACAGTCTTACAGAGGATTACCTTGCAGTGCCATGGAGGATGGATTATAAAAAACGTATGACCCCGTGGGAAGGCTGTGATAACAGCCACTGGAATGATGTGCCCAGACTGCTCTTGCTCTTATGTCTTTGGCTCTCACCTCCAGCATCTAGCTGAGAGCCACACACTGAGTCACACTGAGTTAAACTCTGCTGGTCAAACAGACTGAAGAAAGCATTGACAAAACTTAATGGCTAAATGCTGGGATCCAAGGAGGGAAGGAGCTAAAAAGGTCATGGCAGTCTCAACCTTGGTTGGCAATTTCAACTAAACCGGAATGGCAGGAGGTCTGATGAGGTGAGGGTATATTTATGAGGATGAGTATTGTATAGACAGATTGTTTCAAGGTGTTGCTAAAACACCTAGGGAGAGTGTCCAGGATGCAACTGGCAGGAGTTCAGTCTCTTGGAGGTCTGTTTACCCCCAGTAACTGAGGGCTTCTGTGTGCCAGGCACCAAGCCAGGAGCTAATGGGGATCGCAAAGCCATGGGAGTGAATAAGACTGTGGAGGGAGAGGAGCATCATTGGTCAGTCCTGTCTATAGAGGGAAAAGGCTGGAAATAGTTTCAGTGCCATTCAATTAGGGAATGGCAGAATAAATGGTGGCACAGACATGTGATTAAAAAAAACAGGGCAATTCTATAGGGAGGTGAAATGATGTGCTGATGCATGTTATATTGAGAGCTTTTTAAATGTCTCTAGCCATAGGCTTAGTAAAACCCACCTCCACTTACTTCCCAATAAGCTCAAGGAAAACCTACTAAAACATCCCTTGATGCAAAGTCTCCTCTATGCCAAGCCCAGTCGTGGCAGGAGCCAGAGGAATATCCTTGATTTCTTCTTGGAAGCGGTTCCGATGTGGATGTTTCAGAACTTGCTCTGTCAAGCCAGATGGGGCACTCACCAGGCTGTTCCCAGGGAGGAAGTGAATGAATGAACCCTAATCAAATCAGTCAGCTCTGCGGGAGTCTGATCCTGACCACTCAGCCTCAACAGGGGAAGCAGGAGAACCACACCTTTCTTCAGAAAGGAAACCTACACTTCCACACAATCCACCTAGAGTCTATTTTAGCTCAGAACCCAGAATGAGAACATCAACTATTATAAATAGCAAAACCAAGATTACACTTTGACTAATTTCAGTTCTGATGCTAGGAAAGAAGTCGGACACTAAGGCAGTTGTAAAGCAAGGGGTCGAAAGAAAACCACGGTGTGAAGACAGTGTCTGGGTGAGACAGTCACACCTGAATCATCCCCCCCCCCACCCATATTGCAAAAGTAACCAATTCCTGTGGCTTTAGTCTGTAGAAAAACACCTGAGAAATTCTAACAAGGTTGAAGAGAAGTTTTGAGGGAGTCCATCAAAACCACGAAGGGAATTAATTCCTCAAGAAAAGCAGCTTTTCTCCTTCCCTCCAGACAGCAGAGGCAGGGCTGGCAGAAAGGCAGGGAGGTGAGTGGGCTTACCTTTGTTGTGAGACATGGCGTAGAGGAGGCAGAGCACGAAGAGCGCGTGGTAATCATCGTCTGGGCTATCCAGGGCATGGTACACCATGTCCAGGAAGGGCCTGGAAAAGAGGAGGGACACTCATGAGCTTCGGGGCACACACGGACGAACACTTCTCCTCTCCCACCTGCTAGTCTTTGCCTCTTACAGCTCTGCCACCAGCATGCAGGGAGCCCACCAAGTGCCCAGGCCAGGACCAGGCACTGAGGACACAAGACAAATGAGAGACAGGCTCTGTCCTGAGGTAGCTGCTATCTCCAGGGGAAAGAGACTAAGGAACAGACCACTTAATTACTCTGCAATCGTTCACCAGCTGTCCCAGACACTGGCGATAAATGATACAAAGTCCTTGCTCTGAGCACTTCCATGCGAGGATGCAGAGACAGAGCAGACAGACCACATCATCACTTCAAAGAGTGACAGAATGAAGAAAACCGGGCAATGTGACAGACTAACAATACCAGACAAGGCACCAAGTCAGAACAATTTCAGAATGTGGGTCTTGGGCTCAAATTCTGATTCTGCCTCTTCTTAGCTGCACACCCTTGGGTAAGTTACCTAAAACTTCTCCATTTCCCCACCTGTATGATAGGGATTAAATTCATACAAGGTTATTATGAGGAGTCAAGTGAAATGAGACTGAAAGGCATTTAACATAGGGCCAGGTACACAGTGGAAAGTGCTGGAACACGGGAATTGTGGTTTGATTTCTACTTTGAATACTTCAAGGGCATTTCTCCATGATCTCACTTCAGCAGGTCCTGGCCCAGCAATTTCTTGGACTGACTTTCCCTGACTGGTGAGAATCGATGAGGTCTCTCACCTCTGATGCTTTGTGGGTAAGATCTATGGAGTGGCTGCAAATATCACAAACCGCACGCCCTGAATGCTGCCCTTCCAGGTGAGGGCCTGGCTGGGAAAGACTCAGCACAAGAGTAATAGAATACGCACAGTTCTGGCCCTGAGGCCAGAGGCTCTGATCCCGTGACCGTCTGCGGCTGCCCCTCTGGGTGCCAGGCTTAAGCCCGGAGAGCAGAGCGCCTCAATGAGTGACCAAGGCACACTTGACCCCTGGAAGGACACACAGCTACTGTCAACACCAGTTGTCTGGGGGGAGTGAAATTGTGGCAGAGAAGTACCACATAACCTGTTTTACTTTTCTGAATTTTGAATGCCATAAATGCACACTGAAAAATGCAAAAGGGAAAGTAGTGAAAATGTACCTGTCATACAATTCAAACCAACATGGACACACAGAAATGAAAGGAAGAACCTTAAAGGGGATGTTTATGTTTGGGCTGTTTCCCGTGAGTCCCAGATTGAGCATCACCTTTCAGATGCGTGAATAGTTTTGCAATGTGTGCATTTGGGTTTCTGTAAGTCCAGCGATAGCACTTTCAAATTAAAAGTGGGATAAAGTAGAAAATGCTTTCTTATAAACCAGCTGCTTGGAGTTTGGATTGTATTTTCAGTTGGGAATAATGTGAATAACCAAATGCCCAGGAGCAGAGGGAGGGCTGGGTAGATGTATCATCTCTTATGAAATGAAGTATTATAAAGCCATTAGTTTTTAATTTACTAAGAGTACAACAAGTGAAAAAGAGTGTGGGGTTTGATTAGACAGAAAAAAAGAAAAAGAAAATTACAAATATGGCATGGTATAAGTTATTGGGGGGAAGGAGGAAAGAATTCCCACAGAATTGGCATTGAAAAAAAACTGGCAGGAAATAACCAAAATGTTAGTAACAGCTGCCTTTCAATGCTGGCATCACGGAAATCTTTTTTTTCCTTCTTTATACATTTCAAGACTTTTTATTTATTTTTTATTTTAAAGGAAATGTTTTGAATGGCTTTTAGTTTCTCGGCATATATCTAACCCTGAATGCAGATATAGCCCATATGCAGGAACAGTTACGCTTTGTATTATGCTGTTTCTTCAGATAAGTGGACCAATGTCAAGATCCAATTCATGTCAAGAACAAACTGTCCCCCTCCCTCACCCTCAGCGCCCCCCTCCCTGCTCAGTGCCGGGAACTGGAAGGACAGAAGTCCTTGGCGGCGTTTCTGACAACCAACAACTCAATACCTTTTCAGAGAGAAGATAAGACAACTCCCACCTGGGCTACTCTCTCCTTGGCATTCAGTCTCAGGACAGAATTCCCGGGGCCACAGCCCATCTCGGCACCAGGATTAGCTCCCATTATAAATCATGTGGTGGAAGATGCCAGTTAAAGTCACCAAATGTTAAGGAACAATCTCAATCAACTCTAAGAAAATCCCTCTCTTCACTAAAATTCAGGGGGGAAAAGAAGTGTTAACCCCAAAATTCAAACATAACATTTTGGTCTGTTCACCTTTTTTTTTTTAGACAACACATAGATCTTTTTCTCCCTTTAGCAAAGCTATAGTTTTACCATACTATGTAAAATACTAGTATGTGCTCTGTTTCCATTTATTGAATCCTAAGAAACTGAACACATAATGGCAGGATTCACTTAAAAGCAAGAGCCAATAATCTATTAAGCAGATACACCTTCATTTGCTTGAGCATCCCCCCACTTCTAGTCATTTGTGGTTTTTCCAATTATTCATAGTCTATCTAATGCTGTGCTAAGCATCTGAAGGTTGCTTCCCCTTTCTTTCTGTGTTTAGAATGATTTCCTTAATTTTCAGAGCTTCAGGAGTTACATTTTTTGCTGCCAAGCAAAATAAAAAAGGTCTTTGTAAGTTACAACAACCAATAGCCCACACTGCACTCCAGTGTGTTCTATTTAACCATAACTAAAAATGGCTCCCTTGTGCATCTGATAAAAATTAATCCTGTTAGGTAACTGAAACATCTGCCAAGCAAAGAGATAAGTAAGACATGGAGGGAAAACAGTGTGCTTCAACTCTTCACGGCCAGTAGGATTAATACATAGGGTGGGGGTTTGTGTGACTTTCAACCACCCCACCCTCAGGGTTCAGGAATGAATTCCTTGTAGGCTGACAGAGGAACCGTGCTGCTGTGCATTTATTAACACTAAAGCAGGATTAGGAGGTTATTACAGGGGTCTGTGCATTTGGAGCCCTCCTAACAGTTCACTGAACACCCTGGGAGCATTCTACCCAAGTCTATTCCAAAAGGGGTGGTGCTATAGCAAGGTTCCAGGAAATGTGGCATCTCGAAAGTTTAAGAGCATGTAGCTGTGGCAGGCCATCACTGAAATAAACCATCAGGCACCAAGTCAAAGGTGGACAGCAGCATTTAATCATCCTGGCAGAGTCACGAGGGCAGGCCCTGTGGATAGCCATGTGCGTGGCAGAGAATGAATGAGACAGAGAGACCCAAACACTGCTCCCAGAGTCTTCCAGGAATGGCCATACAAGGTTACAGGCCCTCCCATACCTTTAAAACAGGGCCCAGCATTGCAGTGCTTGGGGGTGGGGGTGGGGGGTGGGGAAGGTGGTGGCATCATGTCCGGCTCATTCTCTTTCCAAGGGGTGAGTGTGCTAGAGCAGCGGTCGCCAACCAGTGGTGGTTCGCGAGATCCGAAAGGTTGGCGACCGCTGTGCTAGAGTGCTGAGTGTCAGCTCTGTCCCCATGCCTCTCGAGAAGAGCTGACTCTCTTGGTGACCAAGGAGTGAAGTAGAGGGAAAGGCAGGAAGCAAGGTGGCTTGGTTGAGAAGCAGACGAGACCATTTGGGTGGTAGGAAGAGGCCCAGGGTTATCCTTAGGGGGCACCCCAGCCAAGGCACCCACCCTCACTGCTGAGCCCATCTCCTCATCCCAGAGACTGAGCAGTACCTCACCTGCCAGGCTGGCTTGTGAGCAGCCCTCCCCAGCATCAGCACGAGTGTACCCCACCTGCCAGGCTGGGCCTCCCACCTGTTCCACTGCACACTCTCCAAGCCCGTGGCGGCGCTCTTCTCCTCATCCGTGGTGTTCTGCTCCTGCATGGAGGTGCTGGCCGCCAACTCTGGGAGCTTGCTGCGCTCCATGATCACCATCTCTATCTCTGGAAGCAAGTACAGAGACTGGGATGAGCCCAGATAGCTTCCCACACCTACTTTATAGACATACTCATGGTTGAGACAAAGCCCCAGAAACTGTTCCTAACACATCAAGCAAATATTCAACAGTGATGAAAGGAGCACCAGCAACATGCTGGGGGAAATATAAGACAAAGGCCAGAACCTCTCTTTCCTTCCATCTGGGCATCACCAAGAAACAGGGCCCTGATTTTGACCGGAAAGAACTGCGATTTTATTTATTTCAAGGTGTTTTTTTTAAAAAAAGTAATTTATTTTATTTTATTGATACCACACTTCCTTCCCCAAAGAGCTGAGGCAGCAAGGAAACATGTGGTTAACAAAACATAACCAAATTCCCTGAAAACACTCTGAAACTGTTTATACGTTAGAAAAAGCTTTGATGTGACTGAAGCCTTTTGTTTTCCCTTTCTATTTACAACTTCTGGGCGCAGAGAGAGGTTAGGAACCATGTTTTATTTTTCCCAATTAAAGAAGAGCCATTTGTAGCAACTGACTTAAGCATGGGGCACATTTTATTTTTCAGAAAGAGGCATGAACCAATTAAGGAAAACATCTTGCATTAGAGATGGATGGTTGTTGCGCTGTAAGGTATCTGTTAAGAGTTCTTTGACACACAGGTATAGACCTTCAAATAGTTCTTGGAACCCAGACTTCAGTTCATTTCCCCCATCTTCGGGAGACAAAATGGGGGTGGGGAGTATGATTAAAAGGTAAACCTGTGTTTCTGTTTCCAGAAAGATGGGAGCACACCGGGTTCTGACATGAGCTCTGCCATCGTCGTTCCCTGGACCCACAGGAGCCGCCTCTTGGCCACTCCTCTTTTCTTGCTTGCCTAGTTTACACAGACCCAAGTGATTTTAAGTGGAAATGAGCTCATGTCACCCTTCTGCTCAAAACTCCGCACTGCCTTCACTTCACAGTCAGCATGAAATTCAAATGCCTCCATGGCGTCAAGGCCTTGCACGGCCTGGCACCCGTCCACCTCTGACCTCACCTCCTGGCCCTCTCCGCCCAGCACCACTCCAGCTGTGCTAAGCTTTTCTTACTCTTCTTTGACTGGCCCAAGCGTGTTTCTGCCCCAGGATCTTTACCTGGCTGTTTCCTCTGCCTGGGATGCTCTCACCCAGGTTTCCCTACCCAGGCACGACTCAATCCCATCACGTCAGGCTCAGATGTCACCACCTCAGAGACCTCTCAGAGACCATCTGCACCTGTTTTTCCTTTACCTCTTCAAATGATTAATTACACTGCATCCCTCAGAATTCAGATTTCCCTAGTTTTCTCCTAATACCCTTTTCTGTTCCAGGACCCCATTTAGGATACCACTTTACATCATGTCTCCTTAGGCTCCTCTTGGCCGTGACAGTTTCTCAGACTTTCCTTGCTTCTGATGACCTTATGGGTTTGAGGAGAGAACTGGGCAGGTACTTTGCAGAACATCCCTCAATCTGGGTTTGCCTGATGCTTTTCTGATAATTAGACTGGGGTTAGGAGTTTCTGGGAGGAAGACCACTGAGGGGAAGTGCCCTTTTTATCACATCATATCAAAGGTACAGGGTATCAACATGACTCAGGACTGCTGATGTTATCTGCATCACTTGGCCAAGCGTGTGCTGCTCAGGTTTCTCCACTGGAAAGGTACTTTTCTCCCCCTTTCATTCCATAATCTTTGAAAGGAAGCATGAAGCACAGCCCACACGTAAGAAGTGGGGAGTTATATTCCTTCTCCTTGAGGGGGGAGTAGCTACACAAATTATTTGAAATTCTTCTGGATAGATTTGTCCCCTCACCCCTTATCTTGATTTCACTTATAGCATTTATAACTCCTTGGATTTTTTTAAATTAAATCTTTATTGTTCAGATTACAGTTGTTCCTCTTTTTTTCCCCATAGCTCCCCTCCACCTGGTTCCCACCCTACCCTCTGCCCTTACCCCGCCCCCCCCCCCCACTGTCCTCATCCATAGGTGTACGATTTCTGTCCAGTCTCTTCCTGCACCCCCCACACCCCTTTCCCCCTGAGAATTGTCAGTCCACTCCATTTCTATGCCCCTGATTCTATTATATTCACTAGTTTATTCTGTTCATCAGATTTTTTTTCAATTGATTTTTAAATTCACTGTTGATAATAATGTATTTGTCATTCATAATTTTTATCTTTACCTTGTTCTTCTTCCCCTTCTTAAAGAATACCTTTCAGCATTTCATATAATACTGGTTTGGTGGTGATGAACTCCTTTAGCTTTTTCTTATCTGTCAAGCTCTTTATCTGACCTTCAATTCTACATGATAGCTTTGCTGGGTAAAGTAATCTTGGTTGTAGGTTCTTGCTATTCATCATTTTGAATATTTCTTGCCACTCCCTTCTGGCCTGCATAGTTTCTGTTGAGAAATCAGCTGACAGTTATATGGGTACTCCCTTGTAGGTAACTGTTTTTCTCTTGCTGCTTTTAATATTCTCTCTTTGTCTTTTGCTCTTGGCATTTTAATTATGATGTGTCTTGGTGTGGTCCTCTTCGGATTCCTTTTGTTTGGGGTTCTCTGTGCTTCCTGGACTTGTAAGTAAGTCTATTTCTTTCACCAGGTAGGGGAAGTTTTCTGTCATTATTTCTTCAAATAGGTTTTCAATATCTTGCTCTCTCTCTTCTTCTGGGACCCCTATAATTCGGATGTTGGTTCGCTTGAAGTTGTCCAAGAGGCTCCTTACACTATCTTCACATTTTTGGATTCTTTTTTCTTTTTGCTTTTCCGGTTGGGTTTTTTTTTTACTTCTTTGTATTTCAAATCTTTGACTTGATTCTTGCGATCCTCTAGTCTGCTGTTGGATCTCTGTATAATGTTCTTTATTTCAGTCAGTGTATGCTTAATTTCTATTTGATCCTTTTTCATATCCTCAAGGGTCTCACTAGATTTACTGAAGGTCTCACTAAATTTATCGGCGGTTTCTAGAAAATTCTTGAAAAACCTTATAACCGTGGTTTTGAACTCTATATTCAATAGT